TATGTATGTATATATGTATGTCATGTATGTCATGTATGTATACACATATATATATATATATATATGCTTATTTACTTATTTATAGTTGCATTTATATTTATATTTATACAGATAGATAGGTCCTTAGGTATGTACATATATTTATACATGTGTGTGTGTGTGCGTAGAGAGTGATGACGAAGGCAGAGATACAGAGAGAGAGAGAGAGAGAAAAGACATTGGCCAGCGCGCGCACACACAGCCAAATCACCTGGCTGTATGTATGTATGTGTGTATGTGCGTATGTATGTATGTATGTATGTATGTATGTATGTATGTATGTATGTATGTATTATATGTATGTATTATATGTATGTATTATATGTACATATATATATATACATGAATACATATACACATACATATACACCTTTGTAAATGTATAGGTGTATAGGTGCATATGTATATATATGTATATTATATGTATGTGTATACTTATACGGACACATTGTCGCCTTTTTGGTTGTCGGGTGTGTGCAACAGAAAAGGAGCTGAAGCTCTATCTATCTATCTATCTATCTATCTATCCATCTATATATACATATATATATATAGGCATGTACACACCATGTAAACGGGTGTATGAGGGATATATGTATGTGTACATACGGGATAGACACATACGTGGAAGTGAATAAGCGTTTAACCCTATAACGCGGTATGCAGGCAGATAAACTGCACATGCATAAATACGTATATTAAGATCTTAAAAAGATGTGCTTTCGTTGCGTACATAGTGAAACTTGGGTGGTTTCCTAGTTTGACTCGAACCTCCTGCTACAAAGGCTAGGCATTCCACCATTCTACAACAGTACCGGAATACACGTCAGCAGTCGTAGTTCATAGCAGCCCAAAGATGTTGAGTGCATGGCTATGCTAAAGTTGACATCTCTCCCCTTTCGGCCACATACCAGAAGGCAGTAGCGAGAACCTATACGTTAATATGTAATAGTGTGAACATACTTATGCAGAGAGGTCATGTGCAATATGTGGCATACCTCCACTGTTCCAAATACGCTGCTTAGCTTGCTTAGCTTGATTCGTGAGTTCGCTGCTATACAGAATACTATACAGAATGCAGATAAAACAACACTTGAACTTCGTGTGCCGTGTGAATGTAAATGCAGCTGGCCATGAGTACCGCTTGCGAATGCACGTGTTACAGCAGACTCTAAATGCCTACGGCAATATTATAATACACCATGTGCATCCATTCACCATATCTTCGACGGTCGCAAGCGATTGTATCTGTCTGGTTGCATACGTATGTATGTATGCATGTATGTAAAAACTATATATATATATGTATATATATATGTATATGCATAGAGACATATATATGTACTGCATCGAGACATCAACTTCTGATGTCTTGGTTTACCAATGTGCGTGAAATTCGCTATGGGTCGTGATTTGCCATGCTTAAAGAGTCGACCACCTTGCCAGCAGTCACTGGTCAGTCCTCACGCATCGTGGGTTTAACAATCGGGTGCGCACCTATGTACATACATGTGTGCTGTTTACAGTACAAGGCATGAGACACATGTATACCGTCAAAGCAAGTCCTACATATAGTCAGACAATGCATCTGCAAATGTACACTTTATACTCGTACAAACACGAAGGGACACACACACACACACCAACGCCTCTATACATACGTACGTACATACAGTGTACAGACAGACAGACAGACAGACAGACAGACAGACAGACAAACATGCATCATGCCATACTTGAGCCAAAACTATGGAGAAGTGTGAGCACAAAACGGGCAATCTAAACCAACGCCGAAACATCCCAAGGCCTGGGTCTCATGGCCTTCCTGCAAAGCTGCCAGCAGCGCATCGGACACCTGGGCACTTGAGACAGGGAGGATGCTGCTGAATAGTGAGTAGTCCCTAGTTCTCACACAATTCGCAGACCACCGGAAATCTTTGAAAAGCCGTGTTCTCTCTTTGCATAAGTACTCGATGTGAGTCAAACGCCAGAATATGTAGCGGATTGCGAAGAGTGCATGAATTCTACAGCCGGCACATATCCACATAGTCTTGGCATTTGCAGTTGTAGCGCATGCGCTGCAGAGTCTGCTAGTCAGCTAGTAAGAGTATGCTTCGCAAACACAGATGCAAGGCAAGCACCGTTCAACGGTAGGAGAAACCACTTCAGAGAATTATAGTAGCTACGGAATCAGTACATCATTCACAGCATGAAGACATTCTAGCACACCGTCTCAATAACATTACAGCAGGCTTCTGTAAGGCTTTGTTGGACTCTCTGCCGACGTCCCGCCTCGGTGCCGAACTCGCAGACCTCCAGTCTGCTCGAGTCAGCTGCGTCTTTACATAACCGCAGAACAATTCTGGCCCGAGCGCATCTCCGAAGCGCTGCAAAGCCAGGTGATATATGTCGATGCAGAGATGGAGGACCGTCTTGGCTCAGCTATGCCCATGCAAGGGTTCCCAAATTCACGTGTAGTATCCTTTCAACGATACGCCTCTATGCAATTCTCCCTGTCCTGGAAACGCGGAAGCTGGCACCCTGCAAGTCTCGTGACACCGGCATCTGAGGTCTGGATTTGCTAGGGATCAGACCGGAATATCATGGAGCTCTGTGAAGCTCTTACGGCTCTTAAGCGTCAAGCTGCAGCGATATCTATATCTATCCCTATATCTATGTATGTAAAGCTGCTATATGCGTACATACATGCATGCCTGCATGCTTATACATACATACATGCAGACATACATCCGTACGTACATATATTTATATATACACATACATACATACATACATACATACATACATATATATATATATGTGTGTGTGTGTGTGAAAACATATACATATACATATGTACACGGATGCAGATGGTCACGGTCACAGATGTGTGTGTATATATATATGTATATGTACATACATACATAGAAACGTACATACGTTCATTCATACATACATACATATGTATGTACGCACATGTACACATATACATACACATATACATGTCATTTACATATACAAACCTCTCTCTATATATATATATATATACATGCATACATGTGCAAGCATTAACACGCGCATACTGATGTGTCTATATATATATATGTGTGTATGCTTTCATGTATATATCTAGACATATATGTATGTATGTCTGTCTGTCTGTCTGTCTGTCTGTCTGTCTGTCTGTGAGTGTATGTATGTATGTATGTATGTATGTGTGTATGTATGTACACATACACATACCTACCTACCTACCTACCTACCTACCTACCTAACTACCTACCTACCTACCTACCTACATACATACATACACATATACATACATAAGTACATATATATATGTACATACACACACATATGTGTGTGTGTCTGTATGTATGTATGTGTGTGTGTATGTATGTATGTATGTATGTATGTATGTATGTATGTATGTATGTATTTATGTGTGTATGTATATGCACATCCATAAATATATGAATGTATACATATAAACATATAAACATATACACATAGATATAAACAAACATACATACATACATACACACATATATATGTATATATATATATGTATGCATGCATATATACATACATGCATCCATGCATACATGCATACATGCATGCATGCATGCATGCATGCATGCATGCATACATACACACATACATATCAATGCCAACAGTATGATAACACGTGTATATATATGTGTATGTACGTATGCATGTATGCATACATGTGTGTAGAAGTAACGTGCCGTTCGTTTAACTGTTTGCTTGTAAACCGACATACATTGACATACATACATACTTACATACATACATACATACATACACTCACAGACAGACAGACAGACAGACAGACAGACAGACAGACAGACCGACAGACAGACAGACAGACAGACAGACAGACAGAATTACATACATAGATAAACATACACAAACACATACATACACAGTGCATGTGCATATATACATTTTAAATCTGTAGACACACATGTTGCGTATGTATGTACATTTCTGTATCTGAAAGCCACTCCACAGCCTCCCGGAATTCCAAGAGCTCAAAGAGACGTCCTGGGTCCCACTGAGCTGAGTAGAATGACGCAACGGTTATCGCGCCGTGTGTCTGTAAACAATAATGTCCCGAAGCCTTGAAAGGCTCCATGCACACTATGCCGCCTCAACCTGCTATTACAACATAGGGACTAGTCTTATCTAAGTTTCATGCCACTAAAGCACAGCACCAAATCCCCAATTTCCAACAAAAGTCAAGTTCGACTCTCGGAGAGAAGCAGTGAGATTTGTACCCACGCGTCCCCGGACCGAAAAGGCCAAGTGGGATGAAGCTATGCTTAGGCCTTGAGTAAGCTGTTTAGACCTTCAGGCTCAAGACTTTCTGCGAAGCGTTTGGGTTTCGGAGCATTGCTGCATCATGATGGAACAGTTGCGGACAAGAGAGTCCAATCAGGCTTTCCGTACAGTGCGGTGCTACCTGACTATCGTCCCGACGTGTCATCTACAGCTGCCTGCAGGCTTCACTTCACATTGGCACGCTAGGCATTCCTGGCAGAGTACATCCATGCAGCTTGCATTCAACGTGACTCCGAGAGAATCTTACTGGGGCCAGTCTTAACACTGCTCTGGCCCAGCGGTAACTCACCGACCCTTGAAGCTATGTTGAGAAGCATGCCTCTACTCGTGTCACTGCCACTGCCTTCAGCTATCATAGCCAAAGTACATGTTTACTTGGCTTGAAGGGTCAGTGCATCGACAAGAACTTCCCTCTTGCACCGGCCAATGGTCATCTTTGCGTGGGCGACGCTGACACAACAAGTGACTGTGCGGGGCCGCAATCACACACTGCAATGCAGCAAAAGTCGGAAACCGGCACAGGTTCCGACACCATGCAGGGCCCAGCGCGTTCTGCCCATGCTGGGAGTCGCCGAGCCGAGCAGTTTGCACAGAGTTTTTGCATGGGATCATAATTAATGACCACGCCAAAAAAAAGAGATTAGAGTACGGGAAATTCCGTTGAGCGACCGATGCCCCTGGATCACAAGTTCTGTTTCCTAGGCAGCTCCGGAGGGCCACATGGAACAAAGCAGGCAGGTTTGTGGGCCGTCCTGAGATTGCATGTGTTCTACAGAGAGTTTCAAGCTGAAGACCTGGCCATGTCCTGTCTGCCGCTAGACAAGGTCGTTCCAAATGTGACCTTTAAAATCGATCAGGAACAGGGCAGGTCGCGGTGCTCTGCTCTCTTCACTCTCTTTACATCTATTCTCACTCCGGGGGTGCCCAAGGAGAGGCCTTCAAGGCCTGCAGCAACGCTATTTGAACCTGACTGTTGAAGGCCTCGTAGTCACCACAGCCGGCTTCGATTGTCGCCAAAAGCTTCTGTCGATCTGCGTCATCGTGACACTGAGCATTTTCGGCATCGAAGGCGGTGATGCGATTCGCAAGGTTCTGACAAATTGGCAGCAGCTCGATCGATTTCACGTTGCGCTCCATCTGCAGATACACGAACACCTCCTCCACACACCACCTTACTTCTCCAATGAGCCAGGGAAATAAAAGGCTAAGCTTTCAAATTACTACTAGATGATAAGGACCCAAAACGTTTAAAGGTTGAGTATTGGAGAACTAAGCCACAAGCGGTCAAAATATGTCTCCCCCGCAATGATCAGGAGCGTGTGGCAGCTGGCCAGGAAGACGGGAAGGCACATCAGGCTGTGCTCAATGTTTTGTTGATCGATGCAGTACTTGTCAATCCACAAACGAGGTTCGCGCTGGTGGT